CTGACCATCTTAACATGGAAAAACAATAAACTTGAACCCAGCTGTTGCTACTACACCACGATGAAAAATATCCTGGAAGCTCACACTCTGCACACACAAATGCTTATGTGAAATAGCTGGGTCTTCAGAAGCCAGTACTGGACCAGAACATTCAAATACAGGAAACAGGGGTAACATACCCAGTTCAGTGTGTCTATAGGCTTCTGAGTGGCTATCAAAAATCCACAAATGGGGGCAGACAGTTCAATTACTAAAATATTTGTCACACAAGCATGAATACCCAACTTTGGATCCCTGATATCCACATAAAAAAACCTGCAGGTTTTGATGTGCACATCTGCAACCTCACTACTGCAGGGTATGGCAGCAATCAGATTCATGGACACTATTAGCTGGCTAGTCTAGCCAACTGGTGAGCTCTGGGTTCCATGAGACTCCCTGTCTCAAATGTAATGTGGAGCATGATCAAAGAAAATAATCTGGCATTGTTCTCTGACTGTATGTGCACACACCCATAGGAACATTCAAATATACATACAGCACATAAACATAGGCACGTGTGCACTCACCCAAGGGAACATCAACATATACAGATAGCACATAAACACAGACACACACAAACACACAGACATACCATGGGTGGGGGGGACACAAAGGAGTAGGGCATGTGGCCTGTAGGTTCTCCATGTCAAGTGTGTGAAAGGGAGTGACAGAAATTAAGCCCCATGCGAGGTTAGGTGTGTACTTCTCTTGAGCAGCCCCTAGGGTTGTGTTCATTTCTAATTTTATTAAGACAATGCTGAAAGGGCTTTTGTCTAGTGTAGTATCTAAACCAAGTGTGTTTCTACTTCGTGGCTATTCTATCCTTCCTTTCTTCAGAAAGATTCTGAACACACATAATACCACAGTAATTCTACCATTCCTCCATTTTTCCAGTTGCATCTGAGAGAAGCAAACTCCCTTCCAGTTTTCAAACAGCTCAATCTAACCCTGATAGTGAGGGCTTGGGTTTTCTGCCTATCCTGGGCCCCCCTCTCACAGATCTCTGTATGATGTTTGAAAATCATCAGAGTGACTGCACTGAGTGTGATGCATTGTTTTTTTTTCTGAGTCCACCTTGTTCTCCTGCATCCTCTCCTCCACTTTGGGCCTAACCCAGGTACCCAGCGGGACACCATCTCCAGTGTGTCTCTTGTTTGCATACTCCACCTCTGCAAACCCTTGACTGCATCTTCCTTGCAACACATCAGGTTCCTCTTTCCCCTTTTAATTACTGCAGCATGGCGGTCGTTAAATGGCATTCTCCTTGCCTGGTACTTAGAGGGTGACCAACAAACACCCGTTGAACTGAACTTGGCCTCTCTTTGATGTGTCCAGAAGCAGGAAGACTGTGAAAATGCTCTTCTAGGAATTCCCATGGCATTTGAACAACCAGCAGTGAATAGGGCGTTTAAAAAGAAATTATCCATTCGTAAGTACCATAACAAAATGTACAAATATCAGCTCTCTGGCAACTAATCCAGGCAAAATTCTGAAGCTTGCCTGGCCAAGAGAATTACCCTGTCAAGAAAGAAAAGACCAAAGAACAAGCTTACATGGTTGGAAGGAGTGTCCTTATGTTGACATCTAAAAGAAAAGATCAAGTGTATTAAGAGGTTGCCTTAGAGATATCGCCCAAACAGAGGCTGAAAATTCTATCAAGATTAAGTCGGAAGGACATCTCTTTACTAATAAAGGCAGTCTGAACGGGTGGTGTGGGTGTCAGTAAAGCCAAGGGGAGGACATGTGAAAGAGAGCTGGTGTTAATACTGACAAAGTGTATCCTTTACTTAATGAAAATACAAGTCCAGCACACAATGTCCGCGTTCAGTACCAATTAGCAGATGATTACCAAAGGGTGGAGGATCTTCTTTTTATTCCTCATCACTAAGACAAGAGCCCCTTTGAACTCTGACCTTCTAAGTTCCACATAAAACGAGTGTGTAAGAAGAGGCACCCTGTTTCCCCAAGGAGAGTTGTAAACTTCTATTTCTTTTGGTGTGCTTTTGACTTGCAATCAACTTGATTATGGATTCAGTTTAGAAATGCAAACCTCTTTCAAAGCCCACACAGTGTGCCAGGGCAGCGATTTCCAGATATTTACATTGTTCCATGTCTCAGCTCCTATCTCTGCAGATGGAGTGATGGCATTTCTCCCTGACCTCTGACCCCTGACCTCTGCTGCAAGTTAGACAGACGAGATGAGTTGTGATGCTCTTTAAAACCAAGAACATCTTCAAAGAAGGTACAAAGACTCACTGTGACCACTGAGTTCAAAATTCTGACACTCTGTGGCTTAAAAAATGGTGCTTTCGTAGAGGATGAAGTTCCCTGTCACTAGGTTATTGTGTAACTTAAGGGGACAGCTGCAGCTAACAAGCACACCAGGCTAAGAAGGTTCACTCACTCCTTGAAAAACAGCATATACATTTAGTCCTCATGGAAGGACTGGTTGGTGAGAAATGCTTGCACCTAGAGAGTTTCAGGACCCTGCAGAGAGGACCAGTAAGACTGCATCGGGCCCCGACCCCTTCACCAGCTGGCTAAAGCCTGGGCAGTTTCTTTGCAATCTCATCACCACAGCCACTTGGTCATCACTCTGGAGTCATGAATTCTCATTTTCCCTAGCTCTATTCTGAAACTAATTTATGGCTGCTGTTAGCTGGTTCACATTGGCTACAGAAGTTTTTAAATATTAAGAAAGGAGAAGTTAAAAAAAAAGCACAACACTTTCAAGCTGGAAATATATTCTTGTTCATCTTTCAAAGGAGAGATATAGAGGAAAAGTATTTTGCCAATGTGACAAGAAGGATGCTCCCTGGGTCCTCCTGATTTTTTATCCATTTGTTGAATGAGAAAGTAACAATTACTTATCCAGTAAATACTTATTAAATGCCTACTTTGCACCAAGTATTATGTTTGCCCTGGGGCTACACACATGACCCTTGTTCCCAGAGACTAATAAATAAAAGAGAAGGAGAAGGCAGAGACTGAAATGAAGTCAGTCCCACGTCTGTGCTGAGTGCTCTTCAGACCAACTTCCTGGAACAAGTATGAAAGGAGATGACACTGTCCCCATTAGGGACTGAGAACCCAGGCACAAAATTCTGAACATGCACAGAGTATAGAGTTGACAGGAGTTAACTGGACCCCTTCAAAACCCACTCATAAAGTTTTGTTGGGAGAAAGAAAAGAACAGGGAGGTGACATTAAGTTTTGGCTTGATTAAAAAAAACTATTGGTAGTTAGTTTTTTGACACAGGTTAATTTTTAAAGTTTTTACAAGTGGGTTTCACAACTATAAATCAAAGCAGGATATACTGCATTTCACTGGACCTAGGACAATGCCTACTGTGAATTACTCTATTAGTCTGTATACCACCAGAAATAGAGATCACTCACTACCAGCTATAGGATGCCACTGACCACTGACTGAGAGACATGCCCAATTTCAGCAGCATTCATGTATGGACACTAAAACAGTGTTTCACAGAGGTGACCAACTCTGACTTCCACAGAGTCCACACCCAAGCTGCCCACTTCACTCCCAGATGGGTGCTGGTAGCTTTCCAGACCATGCCCTTGGGTCTCCCTTCATCAGACAAGCTGCTGGCCAGGAAGGTAGTCTTTTTTTTTTCTACAACTTACCTTGAGCAACTGCAGCAGGCACTTACAAAACCATGTCCTGCTGTAACAGAAGTATGAGAAGATGCTCTTAAGTAGGAGAAAGCTAAAACGACTACTGAACTGAGAACTCTAGGGCAACCAGTGGACAAGTACAAGTCAGGGAGATAGGTGGATCTTTACTCAGAGCAGTGACACTGGCTTTCCAGTGTCCACCCTTGTTACAGATGGCCACTGTCACTTTCTTGTCTCCTCCTTGCTGCTCAGGGTTCTGCTTTGAGGTTCTTGTTCAGGCTTAGCACCACAGTACTGCTGGAGTCAACTATCTAAGGTCCTTATTTGCACTCAGAGTAAATACTGGCTTGGGATACCATCCATCTATTCCAAGTGATAACCATATAAATAAACGTTATTGGTGAGAGGACAAAAATGAAAGACTCACTTTTAGAATGATCAGAAGGCGTCTCAATGGACAGTATCATTTCTGCTCATATAGAATTCTGATGACAGGAAGTAAATGTATTTGGCAGCTGTAGTCTGTATGGTTTGGCATTTCGGTTTTCTGTGGAAGTCCGCTAGTGTACATGCTTGAACTGACAAGATGAGTTTATATAAAAAAAAGAATCTGAAGAAGATTTATTCCTCCACATGTGGTCCTTGTTGAACACAATACCGGCACAGATCGAAAACCACTATAATTTCTCATTTCCTACGTTCTTTTCTTTCTACATGAATATGTATAGTCATTACTATACATGAAGAAATGTGTTGAGTTCCCTAAGAGATATGATGATGGGTCAGATAATTCTGGCCTCAGAAGGAAGTTTATATATTAATGAAGAATATATATTTGTCAGATAAGCTAAAAGATGGAGAGAATGGAAGATCTACCCAAGAAATACAGGTGAGACACAGTTCATAGCCAGGGGAGATGACATAGCCAGGGACCAGATGTTGACCTGGCTTATGGGAAGGAGATGACAGACAAGGACAGCAGGGCTCCTTTCATACAGTCCTCCTGGTCATTCAGGGGCAGGATGCTATTGCTAGAGTCAGCTCTTGAGGTATCACAACACTGGGAGCACAAATAATTGCCATGGGCTGACAACTATGGGTGTCATAAGTCAGTTTATCTGAGGAAAACACTATAGGATTTCATGCCTAATAAGTGTGTTAATAAGTATGTATGTGCGTGTGTGTGTAGGGGTAATCTAAAAGCCCAAGTCTGATGTAAAACAGAACATCTGATACCCACAATAGGTCTCTAGGACACTTGATTAAAGGCAACAGCAAAACACTGTCTTTCAAAACTCAAAGGGCTGCCAGCCCCAGCTTACCATGGACATGGATACCATTTGACTGAAAAGCAGGGTTTGTTTCTGGATGGTAGGACTTCAGGAGTGAGCCTGGTGGCTGTTGGGTGTGGGGAGGGTGTGCTCTCTGCAGCAATGACGGAGGAGCTGGAATTCTTCCAGGGCTCATGTGCTGAGGAGATGGAGTCGGAGGTGCAAACCTGGGAAAACAATTCAAAAAGGCAGTATGACCAACTCTCCAAAGCCCCCTAAGTTCCCATTCTGGCCCTACACAAGTGTGACAATACGTTCTTTCAAAAATCCTTCATAACCATTCTCTTTCCCTTCCAACCACCGAGTTCTTCTGTGAGACACAGAGGGAAGAAAAGTCACCAACAAAGAAAACCTTAGTCACAGTTTGGGCTTGTCAGGCTTCTTAAACTGCATTTCAAATCCTCTGGGTTTTGTGAAATTCAAAGCACATTCATTGCCAGGCCCTTTTCCTGCTAATTTTAAAATCCATTCACATTTTAAGGGAAATTCGATTCGTATGTTTCTGAGTCATTTACACTTAGCTCATAAACATTTTGTTTTGTAAGGCACATCTGAGGTCCAAGAAGTGTTATGGGTCCTTATTATGATCCCCTCTAACTGGAGTCTCCTTAAACAATACATTCTCTCTTGCCAGGAGTAAATTAACTTAAACCTCAAAGGTCAAATGTGCCTTGAAACCCAGAACCTGAGAGGTTGGTTTGGGTTCTGTGCTGGGTAAAGAACATTCCTGATGGTGTAGAGGGAATGCAATGTACAGCATTCTTTGTCATAATGTGTAACAATCACAAGATTGTTGGGTTTTTTGGTTTTGTTGAACCCAATGCCTTATACATGCTAGACAAGCACTCTACCGTTGGGCTGTACCCTCAGCCCCAAGTCCAAGAGTACTGGTTTCTGAAAGGAGACATACTGATACTTAAACAAGGAGGCATCACCAAGTAACCTTGGCCAACTGCATGTTTATCTTCTCGTTGTGAGGTTCTGAGTTACAAGATTTAGAATGACCTTTACTGTCTAACAGAGGAGGAAGGTAGTCTTCTGAGAACAGCCTTGCAGTTGGGAATGTCCACGGAGAAATCAACAGTGTTACTTGTTGGTTCAGCAGGGCACTGTGATACTCATAGCAGAGAAAGAAGCTGAGGGTCTTTCAATGCCATGAGAATAAGCAGTAAAATGATCTTGGGTAAAAAATATGCTAGCAATGAAGTATTTAACGTCTTCTCTCCAAAGTTCACCAACATGAAGACATTTAAATGGTGAAATGGTGCCTGTTGATACTGTGCAGGAAGAGCAACTTTATTCTGCACTGGAAAATGCAGGCCATCATCTGTGACACTAGTTGTTTTATAGGAACAAATGGCTCCACCAGCCTGGGCACCCTGGGAAAAAGGGAAGGTGCATTAGACAAGTTTACAACGTAATTGCAAAGGTTCTGAATCATAAGGCAGAGCTTCAACACTTATGTTGAAGGAGTAAGAGAGTATAGGACAAATGCCATGTTCATTTTGTGTTTCACTTGGGAAGGGTAATGAGACTATCTACCTAAGAAGATTGCATAGGAGCCAAGAGGAAGACAGGGACTCAAAGCAAAGAGGTCAGAGCATCTAAGCAGACCAGATGTGACAGGATGCCTAGGAACTGGTCACTGAAGTTTTTACGCTAAGGGAAGAGAAGGGTAGCTGTGTGTCCTGTGCTGGTAAATGTGCACTTTTCTAAGCACACCCTCTTAATTGGGATTATCTGGGAAATAATCTATGCTGACTGGCCCTGAGAGAAAACACAGCAAACAAATCCTGGCACTGGCCTGAGAACATCTAGTAAAACACATAAGCCAGGATTCCCCATATGGAGGCTATTTTCTGGGGAACATGTCCTTATTGTATCTCTAAAGTCACTCTGAGCTCCTAGAGGAGGCATGAGCAATTATGGAGTCCACACTGGCGCCCAATCCTGGAAGCCCCTGTTCTTATAGCCCTTGGGGTGGGAGAGGAGAGGAATTTGAACAGCAAGGTGTGACCTACATCATTATCATGTAATCACACCAACATTACAACTTTGTTTGGGAAACAAAATAATTAAGACCTCTCTCTTGTTTTCTTTGTTTGAGACAAAAGGCACAACAAGCTAGAAGGTCCTCTGGGGTTTCCTGCTGGGACTTCTGCAATCTTCCTTCAGTCTAGGGCTAAAGGAGCAAAGCAATGAGTAGACAGTCATGCTGGGACTATTTGGGAACGCTGGAACAACCTAAGGACATAACCCCTACCCCCAACCGACTTGATACATCTGAATCACATGAACTGGGTTAATAGGGAATATAAATGGGACATGAAGAGTACAAAGGGAGCCCAAAGTTGTTCTGAGTAAAAATGTAATGATTTTGTCATTTGCAATGACAGGGTCAAAAGTTAAATTATGACTACTAATTAGGGAATAGAGAATGCAACACATACAAGGGTATACTTTATTAGAATATTTTGAATCATCTATAAATAGATTATGTTATAAGAGGAAAATGGCTCCAATAACAGACGAAAGAGTCAAAGACACCCCACTATTAAAAGTCTCACAAGAACACCAAGCTAGCAACTATAACCTATATGCAGAGAACCTAGCTCACACGCAGGGTCTCTGATTGTTACTTCAATCTCCATCAGCTCCTATGGGGCCTGCTTAGTAGATTCCGTGGGCCATGTTCTCATATCACACAGCATTTCAACTAAAACTAAATTTATTTAAATATCCTGTCCCACCCCTTGCTGAAGCATCCACCTTCATCTTTTTCTTTTTATAGTTATAATCAAAGTTGGGGCACAAAATTCTAGGGATCATGACTTAAATGCAGACAGCCTTATGAAATCATTTCTCTAGAAGCTCACCCACTCATTTCCCCCAGATTAGCACTCAAATAGTGCCAAAGGCATTGAAGAAACTCCCATGTAAAACATGGCTATGTACAGGTCAGAATGGGCTAATCCACAAATTGTCAAGAGCTAGCTTTCCAGCAAACACACTTTAAGCCCATTTGAAACCATGGTATTCAGCAGATCAATACTTGTCTCCAGAAGATATCTAGTTCACCCCACTCCCACTCACAGTCTAAGAAAGTACGAACAGATAAGACCATGCTAACTCATGTCTGGGAACAAAGGGACAGATGTAGATTCATGTGGCCTCATCCTATGCGATGCTATACTGGGCTTGGCCAGTATAGAGATTTTTTGTTGAACCGTGATTTCACTTTCATCCTGTTCACCAGATCCATTTTCTACGTGACAACCAACCATTTAAAACAGGCTTGGTCACTTCCTACTCCTCTGGAATAGCTCAGTGGCTTCTGTTACCTTTGGGACTAAGTTCATAAGCCTGCAGTATGACTTATGTAATCCCAGTATGAAAGCAAAAGCAGAAACAGCGTGGAAGAGTCCAGGAGACAGGGATGAAGGAAGTTGGGCCAGCAGTTTCCCCAGTCCATAATTTTCTGTCCCCGTTTCAGTAATCCCAGTCAACCGAGGTCATCATGGCACAGCAATGTTCCTTTAGAGACAATGTAGGATTAGCAACAGCCTACCATGAGGTCACAATGCCTATGTCATTCACTTCACCTTTTCATCAGGGAAACACTGGGTCATCATCTCACTACCACAACAAGAAAGTATTTTGAGAAAGAAAGAACATTCATATAATTCTTATTACATTATATTTTTATAATTGTCCTGTTTTATTTTGTCTTCATTAATCCCTTACTATACTTAATGCATAAAATGAAATTTATTCTAGGTGTGTATATGGGGAAAGCATAGGACATACAGGATTTGATACTGTCCACAATGATTCAGATGCCCACTAGGGCAGTGGTTCCCAACTTTCCAAATGCTGGGACCCTTTACTTCAGTTCCTCATGTTGTGATGACCCCCCACCCATAAAATTATTTTGTTGTTACTTCATAACCATAATTTTGCTATTATGAATGATAATATAAATATCTGATATGCAGCATACCTGAATGCAACCCCTGTGGAAGGGTCATTCAACCCCCAAAGGTGTCGACCCACAGCCTGAGAACCACTGCGCTAGGGGAAACTACTGTATTAGCTTCCTACTCATGCTGTGCAAAGTGTCTTACACTGGAAGAGCTTGAAATAAGAAAGAAGAAGAAAAATTTCCCATGTTGCAGGTGTGGATATGAGAGCTGTGGGGTGGGGGGTTTATTCTCTGCTCTTGCCCCCAACGGTGTGTTCCTATGCTGGTGTCAGTCAATGCAAAGCACCATGATCAATCAATGCTTCTGTAGCCATCTTCCACTGGCAAACACTTCTCTGCCTTCATCCCCACTCAGTCCTGTGACCATCTCCATCGCGGGCCCCACCCCACCCCTGTCATCGTCCCAGGGCACATCTATCTATCTCTGCATCCCACAGAAGTTGTGTTTTGAACACATCTGTTGTACTGGATTAAGGGCTACCTTAGTGAACTCATTTTGATTTAGTTCTATCTGTGAAGACCCTGTTCCAAAATGTGATACTTTGAGGTACTGGGAATGAGGATTTCAAGGTATCTTTGGGGGATACACAACTCAACTTATGATAAAATCCCACTGAAAGATGGACTTTGACTTTTTTCTAAGTCCTTTACAAACTTAATTGGTTTTGGTTTCTATTTCGTAGGACATAAAATATACCCTGCTAATATATAAAAATATATGGAAAATGAGGTCAGCATTATATATTATCTTCACAGAGAATTTAAACTGAATAAATTTCACTTACACGTTTAAATTCCTAGTATTTTGAGTTAAAACAGTAACATAGTATGATATTAAAGACCCACAATTTCATAGCTCAAGCAATTTCCTCATATAATTGCTGAGCCTCAGTTTCCCAGAGTGCAAACCAGAAACAACCAGATTGCTCACTCTGCCTTCCATATTGGATTCTAAAAAAATAAAATTATCTACGTCAGAAGGCTGTTTAGAAAGAATAAAATCAAACAAAGTGGGAAAGTCCTGGTATCCATTTGCTTAACTTTCTTTCTTACATGTTAGTGACTGACAGAGTTCCTGAGACAGGGGCCAGAATAGATGGGGCTCAGCTCATACTAGCAGGTCATTCCTGTTCAGTTTTAATTAGCCTTGTATGAATGAGGGACAGGGCTGAAATGCTACACACTATAAACTTTCCTAATTACTAACCTCACCTTCTCATACTAATTGTGGGGCCACAAAACTGGTCACCTGTGGAAGAAGACAGATACCTTCTGAAACATGAGAGAGTACAACAAAGAATTCTGTCCTGGTTTGTTTTTGATGGACATATACAACAACATCAAAAGTATTTTTAAAGCCACCTAACGGGGCTGGAGAGATGGCTCAGTGGTTAAGAGCACTGACTGCTCTTCCCCAGAGGACCCGAGTTCAATTCCTAGCACCTGCATGGCAGCTCACAGTTGTCTGTAACTCCAGTTCCAGTAGATCTGGCATCCTCACACAGACATATATGCAGGAAAAACATTAATAAATTATTTTTAAAAGCCACCTGAATAATTAGAGAACATTAAAAAAAGAACTTCTAATACTCCTTGATAATACAATTCAGAGAGGTATAAGGTTTTTCTTGGATACAAATGAACTTTTCTAGGGTAACCCATCTCAAAAGGGGACATACTCCCATTTCCCCACTCCTGTACACAAGATGAGATGATTCTCTGTTGAATGCTGAGGTCTCCCTTTAACCAATGCTGTAAAGTCAGAAGAACCCTTTCTTCTGCAGCAATAAAAAGTTAATAGTGTTTGAGGTGGGGCCAGGGCTTGTGAGTTTCCGTTATAGAGAGCCATTTCACCCAACACTGGGAAGAAACTCCTCCCAGAATGGAGCTCTATGAAGCCTGGGGACTGTGCCTGTCTGGTTCACACCACCAGTGGGAAGGCAAAATAAATGCTTCCCTCAAATTCATGCACAACAGTAGGCCTGGGTGTGTGTCTGTGGGGGGGATGGGGATGCTGAAATCAGCAGTGTTTAGAATGAGATAAATATGCCTCACAGTTACTTTTGAGGGGCTGACTGGAAAAGATACTGGTTGAAAATTATAACCCTTGATCCTGGTTCATAGTGCAACACTTTCTAGGTAGTTAACCTTTAGGGAAAACATGTCCCATGAGCTGCTCCTGCATTCTAAAATGAAAATGGACACTCCCACCACCTTCCCTCACTCAGAGGACTCTTGTGAGAAAGTGGTGATTGTGTATTTGTCACTAGGCTGTGAACAAATAAATGGAGGATGTTACAATTTTGGGCAGATCAGAGCTTCCCCAGAGTCTGTCTCAGACCATGAACATCCTTTTACTTACTCTCCGGTTCAAAGCAAAGACACCAACACAGCCATTGTCATTTAACTCTCTTCTGTCATGGGCAGAGAGGGATTCTCATTGCTCAGTATAACCCATGTAAAATTGCTGTCACGTGTCAGTGGGTCCAGCTCCAAGTAAGTGTCTCAGAAGTGGGTCTTATCTTACTGTGTGGCGCAAGCTAGTTGAAGAATCACTGAAGTTAGGGATTATTGTTTTAAGTGTAATAAATGTAACTACTGGTAATGATGCCTACTATTTTTCTGATTATGATCCAGAAAGCTGGCTGTTTTTAAATTATTTACACAGGGCTGATTTTTTTTAAAAAAGGGTTTAATTTTGCAAGCAGGTTAGCCTTGACACAGCGGTAGATTGCAATCTCTATTTAGCTTGTCTTAGTGAAGCTGGATCATACTGGAACAAGAACCCTTTTTACATCTAACAAACTGTTATCCAGGGTCATGGGCTCAAAAGTGGAGCTTTTCCATAAGCCACTCGGGAAGAAATCTTGACCCAGGAACTTCACACCCAGAATGAAGAGGCAGGGCAGTCACAGACACACATAGTAAACTTATAAAATTGGGCCCCTAAGTCCTGTATATTTTTGGTAAATTCGATTTCCCCATGAATGTTCAAAAGCTGATGAGAACTGTTGTCATCTAGGGATATAACTCTGGCTTTCAAATACTGTACTATGCATGCCTTGTAAGCACCCCCTAGAAACAAATTCTAGGACTGAGGATGTGCCTCAATGGTAAAGTACCTCCTGGTACATACAAAGTCATGAGTTCAATCCCCCAACACAAGGGAGGGGGGCAGGTGAAAGCGGGATTGAGAGGGAAGGGAGGGGGAGAAGGGTGAGGGAGTAGGGGAGAAGGAAGGATAGATAATTCTAGACATGGTCATTGTTCTAGGACAGAGAACCAAGCCTCCATTGACATCTGAACTTCCTATTTCTATCAAAAGGAAACTGTACTGCGAAAAGATTGCTAAAAATAGTCTACAATGTGTTCCCACCACCATCCTGAAAGGATACATGATCATTTCTTGTAGGCTAGTCCTCAGATGTTATAGTGGCTATGTCCAAGGTCTTTAACGAGGCTGTGGAAGTGAGAGGGGTCATCACATCACCCTCACAGCAGCTTGTTTTTTTAAGCCGCATACTTTGTGCTTCAGGCACTGGCTGAGATCTCAAAGTCTGTACAGATCTCTACATGATAAGTCTCTCCAATTCAATCTCCCCTGACCCCTCCCACCAGAATAAAGATTTTATGTGACTTCTGTGGTAAAGGGGTACCTGGTGGACAGTCAAAAGGGATGCAGCTAAACAGTGCCCAATGTCCAAGAGTTTACCTCACCAACAAAAATTAACCAGTCTAAACACTCAAAACATCAGCACTCCTAACTTTAGATTGCCCTG